ATAATTTTGAAGAAATGATTTTGAATCCCTCAATTTGCTCGATGGAATTTCTAAATCTTACTTGGACTCTGATTTGGACTATGACCAATTCCGACCAAAAGACTGATTTAAGCCGAAACTCTGATTTGGGCCGAACCTCCGATTTGCGCCGAAATTAGAATTCAGGGCGAAAATTACAAACTTCAAACTTCAAAACCTCACGTCATAAAACCCCTTATTTTAACTCTGATTTCTTGGATTTTGATGAAATAAAATTGATTTCCTCAATTCACAGTTTTGGAGATATTTTAAACCGAATTTGAAACAAACAAAAATTAAATTCATAAAATTTTTACGTTGCTTTAAACTGAATATAAATTAAAAACTTTTAAAATAACTAGTTTTTTTTTTTTCAGTTATTTTAAAATTTGAATTTTCACCTGTTTCCTCCTCCTCCTCCGCCAGACACAAGTCCCAATGTTCAAGCACCAGATGAAGGGCAGATTTTCAATTCCGGTATGATCCTGATTCCAAAAAGGTAGAGCAATGTGGCTCGAGTTAGAGGGGTTTCAGACACTCGGATGGACCGACAGAATTTGCCGCTTATTATTTTATAAGTTGGAAAATTCTCACCGGCACGACTATTCCAGGCAGTATTTTATTTAGTACAAAAGAGTAATTTACAAACAAAAAACCAAAAAAGAAAGAAAAGTTAAATATTTGGAAAGGCGAAAGAAGATATATACGCAGTTAGCGAAAATAAATGAACAATAGAATAAAATAAATGTAAAAAAAAAAATGAGGAAAACAGAAGAACGGGAAAATGATAGGAAGCAGACAATGAAGAAATGAGATTGAATGGAAATGGAAGTCATAAAATAAAAAGAAATGTGTTGAAGTCATCTGAAGTCGTGTTTTCGTTCATTTTTACTTTCCCGCTCTTTCTAAATATCCCTAGAAACTCTTTGTTACGTGGATATTTATTCTGATGAAGGCAGCGAAATTGATCGGTTGAAACGTTTAGGGGAAATCTAAATGCGTTAGATAGATAGATAGATAGATAGATAGATAGATAGATAGATAGATAGATAGATAGATAGGGAGAAAGAGAGAGAGAGAGAAATTAAAGAAAACGACAAAATACGGAATAGAAGAAGGAAAGTTTATTAGGAAGTCGATGACAAAAGCGACATAAACCAGAAAATAAATATTAAGAAAGAACGAAAAGATAGGAAATCAAGAAAGAAAGAATGATTTAGGAAAGTGATCGGAGGAAAAGGGAGGAAAAGGGAATTAGAAAGGAAGGAAGGAAGGAAGGAAGGAAGGAAGGATTAAGAAACGAGAGCACAAACGATAGATAGATAGATAGATAGATAGATAGATAGATAGATAGATAGATAGATGTATACATAAATACATATGAAGAAGCAAATAGATATTAACAAACTATGCTAGATAGATAGATAGATAGATAGATAGATAGATAGATAGATAGATAGATAGATAGATAGATAGATGTCAACAGAACAAGATAGATAGATAGGAAATGAAGAAAGAAAATATAGTATAAATTTTAATTTAAACTGCAGAGAGAAATAATACGCAATTGCGTAAAAGCTAACGAAAAGAAAGAAAGAAACAAACAAACCCGCAAACAAACAAAGAATGAATGAATGAAAAAAAAAAGAAAAGAAAAATTAGGAAAGCGGATGAAGGGAAAAGGGATTAAGAAAGAAAGAAAGAAAGAAAGAAAGAAAGAAAGAAAGACAGCAAGTTAGCAAAATAGATTTGTAGAGAAAGAGTTGATTTCCCAGTTCAATGATCGAACGACCCAGTAAAGTGAGAGCTAATCTAATGCACATAACATCCAACCGATTGTATCTTGTTCTTCCGTTTCCTTGCGTGTCTGAACCAAAAGTCCGTGAGCTTTTGAGATCTCGCTCGACGACAGACGGAGGCGTCCGCTTCAGCCGCTACCGGTTTTCTTTCTGTCGCGTCCCTTAAACAAAGCCTATAGACCTGCTCCTCCTGGACAATTCGTATCTACCACCCGTCTTCACCTTCACTCACCTGATCATTGAATTCCTGCCACATACATTCATTCAATCAGTACCTTGATGACCGACTTACTTATTCTTCCTTCTTTCTTAACCTTTTCACCATAAATGGTGTCTGCTGCCTTGGAATTGTTACATTGATACCAATTATACTCGCTTTCCTAGGTATGACGATAAACTACATCCAGCAGCAAGAAATCTGATTGGGAGATTGGAGGTTTTGAGGAGCGTGGAGCCACATCAATTATTTTTGTTCAAATTTCATCCTGGTCCGAGGTGGTAGAACCTGTTAGGATCCCAGCTATGGGCAAATAGTTAAGCCCAAACAAAAGCAAAATAGTATCGAAGTATAAAAATACATTTTCATAGTAAAATGACCAGGAATATCTATTTATAGTAGAATGACTCACAATACATTTTTTATCAAGATGACTAATAATTTATTTTAAGACATTTTTATGTTTATGTATTCTTTTTATAGATACAAATATTTAAGTAAATGCTTTGTTTATAATAAACAGTATTAAACAACATTTACCGGCCTGAATGTCCGAGAAATTTTCACAGAAAATATTCCTCAGACAGGATTCGAACCTATATCCTATACGGAACCGTCATTTAGCTTGACGTGCCATAACCGATTTGACTACAGAGGAGCGTTCGGTTAGCAAGGTCGAATTTACTATCTTTTAAACTTCAATCTTCCATGAATCTCTCACGTACATTCATATTTATAATAAACAGTATTAAACAACATTTACCGGAAGACGAATATTTTCTATGACATTCAGGCCGTTAAATGTTGTTTAATACTGTTTATTATAAACAGAGCATTTACTTAAATATTTGTATCTATAAAAAAAAAAAAGAGAATATATAAACATAAAAATGTCTGAAAATAATTGTCCATTTCATGATATATTTTATCTGTATCAAATACATACAAAATACGTTGTTAGTCATTTTGCTATAAAATGTATTGCTGGTGATTCTAGTATAAATAGACATACAGTTGCATTCAAAATATTTTGATTTCCGTATTAAATAACCCATAGGGGCTGATATACCATTAAATGAAATCAACCAAATAACCAACAGAGAAAAACCTTTTTCATGACATTAATCCATATAATATCCTACAATTTCGTAAAGATATCAAACCGTATTCTAAAATATAATTTCAACAAAACTACAACACGAAACTCACATATCACCACCGCTAGTAATTATGTCCACACAAACATGAATATGGCCAAAATCTGAGTATCATTTACCATGGATTCAATTGTGAAAGCAGAATAGCATATATAATATTTTTATTACTTTAAAGCTTCCAAGAAAATAAAATTTCAGCATTAAATGACTCATGAAGAGTTGATGTGTCATTCAACAATCAAACAAAATCAATTGTACTTGTTGGCAAAATCTTCACAATTATGTAGAATTAGATTTTTCAAAAAAAAGAAGAGATTAAAGCAGGGTGGCAAAATGGTTGTATGTTTACTACAGACAATATATTATATCTATATCTGTATCTATCTATCTATTTATATATATATATATATATATATATATATATCATCTATTGTTTGTCTGACGATCACAGATAGCGTGAAACTCAGAGCAATCCAACAAAATCAATTGTACTTGTTGGCAAGTATATATATATATATATATATATATATATATATATGACCTTCTCGATGACATCAGTTCTCAACTTGTTATCTACGCTGATGACACAACCATTTATTCCTGTCTCGATAGAAAGCCTTATTAGTCTGACAAGGTCAAAATGGGAGCCGATATCTAAAACGACCTAAAGTCCGTTGTTAACTGGGGCAAAATATGGCTTGATAATTTTAACCCTTCCAAAGCTAAATTCCTCTCCATTAATCATTTGAGTGGCCCCTCTCTGCCTTCCATCAGAATGGATACTAAACTCCAAGAAAGTGACTCTTCTCCGGTTAACGTTCTTAGCTGACATAATGTGGAAAGACTGTATTGAATCCATTGCTAGGTCAGTTGCAAAGAAAGTTAGTTCACTGTGTCGTGCGAGACAGTTTTTCTCTCTAGCATCTATCACATATATCTATGCCTTCAATTCAATCATGCTTAGAATACTGCTGTCACATATGGCCCGGTGACACTGCCATTTACCTTGAGTTCCATGAGAAAATAAAAAGAAGAATCACTATTATCATTCCTGATCTGGCGACTTGGCTTCAGTCACTTTCCCACTGCCCTAAGGTTGCCTCTCTCTGTCTTTTCTATTATTACTTCCATGCTATTTTTATTCGAGATTTTTAATTTAAGCGCAGCACTAGACTGTCTTCAAGATCTCATGAATTTACAGCTAAACTGGCTAGATGTAACCGTAAATTCTAACAAATACTAACAGCTTCTTTTCTCGCACTTCCCTCTTGTGGAATTCCCTTCCTAATCCAAGCTTTCCGACTAACTTTGATCTGCAAAAATTTAAATGCAATGTCAATCGCTATCTATTGTCCTCCTGATTACCCTTTTATCTTCCCGGTCCTTATTAATGTTTCTGTTTCTAATTCTTCGACATTTAGTAACCATTGAAGACTTTCTAGGCCAGTTGTTAATTTCACCTTTTAAGAAAATAAAAAGCAGGGATAGCAACTAAAAAAATAACGCTTAGAGTCATGAATAATATCGGATTAAAATTTCCATTCAGTATATATATATATATATATATATATATATATATATATATAAAGAAAGAGAAAGATTTAAAATTGCTATATTTATAAAATCGGAATGCTCAATATCGGTGTAATTAGAAGGTTTATGTATATATATATATATATATATATATATATATATATATATATATGTGTGTGTGTGTGTGTGTGTGTGTGTGTGTGTGTGTGTGTGTGTAAATTATTTTCAAAATAGTGTGTAAAGCAAAATGATTAGAAAGACAAGAGGCCAAACCTTTGCCTTGATAAAGTCTCCCAGAGGACAAAATGTGTCGGGTAAGAATAGTTTTTCCTCGTATATTTCCACATACACACACACACACACACACACACATATATATATATATATATATCACTGTCAACGGTGGCTATACTTAAATAGGTTGTTGCTACTACGTCCTTGTCAGGTAAAATAAGAAAGTCATTAGGCCAGGTTATAACTCAACAGTTTTATATTGTGTCAAACATCGTGCTATGCCAGGAACGAAATCTTATATCCCGTTCTCCGGTATTAGACCTGCATGTAGGCAGAAATGGATCCCTGTATTTTTTAGGTCGTTCGTGCAAACATGAATAACGAAGGGGGAAATTAAAGCTTGCTTCGCTGATTCTATTATTCATGGTTTTGTTCTGTTTTACCGTGTCCTGAATTATCAAGAACCAAATCTTTTCAGTATCAAAGACCTTTTTTTTGTCTTCATCCTGGCATTTTCAATGCTGTATCTCGAATTTAAATATACCTCTATCGTATAAGTGATGTTTCGTTTTCACAGGCCTTCACAATACCTGAAACTACATATACGAGGTGTGATAATATAAAGTACCGAGACTGTTGGTATGCTAATAGAGCTAAAGTATACAGATTTAAGTCTCTTGGCGCATTGAACATTAAACTCTGTCGCCGATGCACATTAAGTTATAACGTTCTTGCTCACTTCCGTTGTTTATAGCATTGCTTGGAAGGAAAGTGTGTAGCGTGTGGTCGTCTCACTACACCAAGCAGTCTCCATCATTAACCATAGCTTGTAGAGCGGTTTTTTGGACAAAGTACAACATTCCCCTGATTCGAAGCCACCATATATTCCCTTTGCGATTTTTCCTTTCCAAAAATCAAATCCCACTTGAAAGGAACAAGATTTTGAGAAAATCTAAGAGAATGCATCGAGGCAGCTGCTCGCTATCCGAAAAAAGGAATTCCAGGAATGCTTCTATCAGTGGAAACGATGTTGGATAAAGTGTGAGGTTCCAGAAGGAAACTCCTTCGAAAGATATTAAATGCCGAATTGATATGTGTTGTTTTATTTTTATAGCTTCAGCCCTGATACTCTTTGAATAGAAAGACGAGTTAACCGACGAGAGTCTGTAGTGCTTATGTGACCAACTTAATATTGTATTCTGATTATTGGCAGAAGGCATGCGAATTCATAAACAACATTGTTTTTATATAAAGCGCATTTTTACGGTCTCCAATTATTGGCAATAATTAGGTTAAATATTTTGAACGTTTTATGGTAAATGATAAATCTAAGGTATTTGTTGTTTGGTTGGATTTGTTTTGTTTTACGGCATATCAACACCTCAATGGGTTATATAATGCCGACAAAATTTTTATTGCTGGTATTTTTTTT